GGGACCACCTCAGTCTTTTATGGTGCAACAAAACAAAAGAAGCCGTATCACCCGTACACTTACTACAGTGCATTAAACAACAAAAGAGCAAGTAAACAACTCTTTTAAATGAATTGTCAACTTTTTTACACAATTAATGACTAATCGCTTCAGTATAAAGACCCACCAGTACTTTCATCTCTATGCACTACAAAAAAAATGAAATACTGGCAAGTAAAACTTTAAATATTTTTCATTTTGTCATTGTTGTTGCTTAGAACAAGATTATTAAACTTATTTTTGGACTTTTTTTGTTAGTTCTTTCACAATAAAGTAAAGTTATCTCACTATACTGGCAGATAACTTACTCAAAACACCTAAACAAGTCAAAAATGTCCAGAAATAAGTGAAATACTCTTATTTGTTGATCTGTTGATTAGATTTAAGACCACTTGCCACTTGTCATTTTTGGAGTGTGTTTTGCTGCTTCTCTTTACGGTCTATAACACACACACATCCTCTCCTTTTCTCATTTTAAACACAAAACAGAAGCAAGAACGTTCCATTTTTCCTATACCTAAGGCACAACCTATAAATCAAGTGCTCTACTGCTGTTAAAAGAAGTGAAGGTACACATGGTTCTCTTTTTCCTTTGAACAGTCTTTATGGATTAATCCACCCCCACACACCAATCACACCTGAGATTCAGGCCAGATGACAGACTGTAATTCTATTCCGGCATCTAAATAGGTAGGCTATGGCCTAAAAGTGCAGGTCAACAGCAGATTCATTTGCTAGAGCTCCCCCTACGGGATTTCCCATGCACAGCGCCACAATCCACAAACTGCCACACTTTACGCTCAAATGAAACCTTCACTTTGACGTTTCAGACGTAGCATGCCGGACACAAACATGTGTAAAAAGACAGTGTGTCCTGAGTCTCCCTATACAACACCCTCTATACTAGCAGTCCCAGGCCCGAGTCTGGCAAGGCGTGCAAAGCAATGCAGAAACCACAACGCAGCACATGCCCTGAAGCTCTGCTGGCATCTGCTTCCCACATGACAGGAGCGATTTAAAACGTGACTTCACAGCAATCCTAAACCTTCTGAGTTGCTTTTGTGTTTGATTCTGAAACTCCGTTGCGCAAAGCTTCATCGCACATTCTGTCAACAGATGTTATAAAGAAGAAGACCGAGTAACGAATTAAAAGTCCTGAGCAAAATCTTTATTTATGGTTTAAAATCAAAATCAAACTTAAAATCGGAAAATCACACAATTTACCACAAATTCTGCCAGACGAAATACAGCCATGTTTGACATTTTCTTCTCTAGTTTTGTTGCTAAGGTTGCTAACAAGTAATAGAAGCTTATGTGAACCAAACTGCAGACCTAATTCATCACTCAAACTGTGTCGTTGCTAAGTAATCTCAACTTGACTTGCTTAAGTGGTTTCTGACTCTGTATGACATATCGATAACCATAGATATACATATGATGCCACGTTGTCTGTTGTTCTCTATCTGGGGCGATGCGTCTGAGCGTCCGCCATGTTGGAGAGGTCAAGATCCGCTTGCGAACACATTCACTTGTACTGAGAGACGATGAGACTCAGGATTAAATCAGCCACAACTTCCTTATTACTCAACCAATTTTCACCAAATTAGTTTTGTTATAATCCTCAGATTAATCTAGACTGCATGGACTGCTTTTGGTAGCTTTTATTACTTTAATAACTGATCGTGCTAATTAGCCGTCTGGTCCAGGAGGAAAGTATTTAGTCTGCACCTGACGATAAAAACAGAGTTTAGCGCAAGTAGAATCACAAACTCACACACATCAGCAAATCCATCAATGTGTGAATCACTTCTAATCTTAATACACATAAAAATAAAATAAACCCCCAAAACACAGTAAGAAGGACGAAGCTAATGTTGGCTTTCCTATTCGCCAGTTTCTTGTTCGAGTTTTCCCGTTCCACCTTAAATGGTGCAGCAGTCACTTTCTGGTGCCTGAAGCTGCAACGATTAAGGTGGAACAGGAAAATTCGAACAAGATGCTGGTGATTAAGAAGCTGACTTCAGGTTGGTGTAAGAAGGTGCTGACATTAATCTATTATGAATATCTACACACAGTAAGCGATGCTCACCCAGCTACAAAGCCTTAACCATCACTGTAAATAAATAACTAATAAATAAGTTAAGATCCTCTGAATAGACTATTAAATGAAATAAGCTTAATATAAACCAGAGGAAAAACAATCACATCAACAGGTTCTCTGTGCTTCACCAAACACACGACCATATCTACATAAATACATCACGCAAACAATACGCATCACACAGACATGAGTGTGGATCACTGCGTTCCCTCCGTTATATAATCCTATCCCACTTTCTGAGTGTAATATTCTTGAAATAGTAGTAATAGTATCTGTCTTAAACTGCCGCTCTGTAATGGTACTGAATGCAGTCCAGCAGCGATGTTGACCGCCCCAAAATGGCAGCGCTGTTGATGTGCCTGTCTGGACCCAACGCAGCATCTAGGTATGTATATCCATGTCAATAACTATAAAAATGGAGAAAAGTACATTACAGGGCTAAAAACAGAACCAGCATCCATCATAAAATGTGCCCATACTTCTGTTAACTTTCATAGATAGCCACACATACAGTGTCAGAAACCACATAAGCAAGTCTATTTGAGATAAACAACAGTGTGGATTATGGCCTACTAGTAACTAGCCTGAGGCTAATGAATGGGGCTCAAGCTTCCATTCCTTGTTAGCAACATTAGCCTCACAGCTCCAGTGCAAAGCAAACATTTTGGACAGCGATGTTCTCTGAACTGCGTTTGAGCTAAAGGGTAAACTGCATTCTTGCTGAACTATTCCTTGAAGGGGCTGAACATGTCTTGGGGGTCACTCGCTGATGGGAATAGATGCGCGCGATGCATTCCGCGTCAGAGCGTCTGAATTGCGCCAGATTGCACATGGAGGTAAAGTTACGGGGGTTCCTTGGTAATTACTGCGCTCCTGAAGCTTAACCCAAACCATATGCGGGAAAATGAACTTGTTTTTGGATGTGGGTTTTGATCTTTTTATTGTCGGAGCTGGAGTCTAAACCTCAAGATAACGTCTGAAAATAGACTGGGATTAAAAGAACAGTCATTATTAGTTTAATATTTACATATTAAAGCCTTTTTGTATATGTTTAGCCTTTAAAATGCACCCTCCTTGATCTGAAAACTAACTGATATTATATATGTTATAGCCTGTTTTGGTGTAGTGTTATTACTGCTGTTTTACTATACTATTTAAATCTAATTATGCAAATACACAATTAATTACTCTGTTAGTTACATAATGAATTAAATTAATATTCTGCATCAACAGGTTCGAGTCCTGACTGAAGTCCATTTCAGACTTTTTTCTGGTTGTTTTGATATCAAACAAAGACAAACATGGTTAAAATGTAAACAATGATTTTTAATCTTTTTGCAAAACAAGACAACATTGTGTGTGTTTACATGCAATTAATAATCCGTTAACTGCAGAAAATCAGATTTTGTCAGTAATCTGATCAACACGTTTACATGTACTAACGCACTAACTAGTAATCAGATAATGGGAAACTCTACATGACTTCACCTGAAAATATGAACATACATCATTTAGAAGATGAAGAATATTTAAATCCTTCATTTTGTCAAGCATGTATTTGGTTTCAGTGTCGCTCCAAAAGTTATTTGCTGCGTCTCGCCGCAACGATGCTCGCTTATTTCCGGTACCGCCGCCTGTTTTTGTGCATGACTGAGAAATCTGAAAGAGATCAGAGTAGGAGCTCTATTTATCTGATTTCTTAGTCAGATTTCTAGACCTTATTCCGATCTAAGAAATCGGAGTATGCTGTATACATGACCATGATCATTATGATCGGATTATTGAGTGCGTGGAAACGCACATACTTTTCCTCAAATTCAAATCATAACTATAAGGGGAAAGTTTTCAGCAAACTTCAAGTTGGCTTCACAAAGCGGTTGCTATAGAATTCCAGGTGGTTGCTAAGGTGTTGCTGGGCTGTTGCTATGGTATCCCTGGTGGTTGCTAAGGTGTTATGCCATTGCTATAGTATCCCAGGTGGTTGCAAAGGGGGTGCTAGGCTGTTGCTATGGTATCCCAAGTGGTTGCTAAGGTGTTATGCCATTGCTATACTATCCCAGGTGGTTGCTAAGTCATTGCTATGGTATATGTAATGTCTGTGAGGATATGTCCTAAGTGACATCATTTGTGTCAGATTTTCAACATTCCAGCATTCATTTCGTATGGGAAAAGAAATTGTGTTTAAGCAAACAATATATAAAAATCATACATCATTGATCCCAAAGTTTTGTGCAAAGTTTTCTGGTTCTAGTTCGGAAACTGCGACCCGTGAAAATGGTTACATCGAAAAATAATAAGAAGAAGATAATGAAAAAATATTTTAAAATATTTCTTGATCTATTTACAAACACTAATGTGTTACTCAATGAAAGTGAAAAATCTGCACTTCAGAACTTCTTAACTTTTTTTGAGTGAGTTACAAAAATCAAATATAGAAACGTAGGAAATAATTTAATGACGTATACACCAAGGGGGACCTAGGAGGGTTAATCAGTGCGAGTTGAAAGCACACTTGGCTTCTAAACTGCAGGACCCACATCACCAGACTGGAAAATTTACCCAGACAGTTAGATCATGTCTCACATTAAGCTGGTTCCAAATATAAATATGTTAACTGTTATCACAATATACTTCTCCGCCCACATCATGCAACCCTGCACTTGTAGGAAAAGCCTTTAACTGGTATAGATTATTCAAACTTCATAATGGTTCTTTAATCTCATTTCCAAAATGGTTCTTTAAAGAACCATCCACTGGAAGGTTCTTTAGGGACCCAAAAGTTGTTGTTCTAAAGCATCGCTCCAAAGACCTTGCATTTGGCGGCTTTATCTTTCAGAATGTAGTTCACAATTGCACCTACTTGCTTTATCGAAGGGGATCTGGCGGCAGGAGTCCGGCTGGGACGATGGCCAGGGGCAGTAGTAAACTGCCCCGCCCTCCACTATTCCAGGCTGGGAGGTGTTGGCCTTAGGCGCCCCGACCAGCACTGCCAATCTGGAGCGAGAGAGAGAGAGAGAGAGAGAGAGAGAGAGAGTGAGAGTGAGAGAGAGAGAGAGAGAGGGAAACTCATCCCACTAGATCAGAATGCAACGTTAACCACACACTGACCAGCAAACAAAAATGCAGCCAACAAAAAACTGCCCGTCAAATGGACATTGATGTTAGCGTTTCACCTTTTTTTACTATTTTCTGCAATTTCAAGCACCGAGATGTGAACAAAGTCATTCAGATGGTTTGTTGTGAAATGGTCAGTGTGGAGAAACTTGCTGACTCAGGTTTCTTTACAGTGGCCGTGATAGGAACCAGGTGTCAGGATGTCTACAATGCAAATATTATTAGCATTGTAAAATTTATTTACAATCCTATATGAATTTTTATATGCAATGTTGATGATGTTAAAAATGTGGTTAATTTGGAAAAAAATATGTTTCCTTTGGGAACTATTTTGCTTTATAACACCCTACATGTATCCCTCCACCCTAAATGGATTAAAAAAAAAAATGTTTCTTTATCTCAAATTTGATCTCAGAACTATCATCGAACAATGTCTCAGTCATCAGGCAGTGTATTCACAACCATATCAGCATTTCTGTGAGGTGGACGTCTGGTTCCTATCACCGCCACTGTGAACAATTCTGACTCTCTAAGTTTCTCTAGAACGGAGCGTTTCACACCAAACCACTCTGACTGACTTTGTTTACATCTTAACCATTTACTTATGTGGAAATACTGAAAAAATGGTGGAGTTCCCCTTCAAAAGAACATCAGTTACAAAAGCTGAAGTTGCTGAAAAACAAAGTTAGCACTGAATAAAAGCCACTCAATAGTATTTATGCAAATGATCTCATGCCAATTTGCTAATTGACACCTACTGCCCTTTATTCATTGTTAGCCACATTAGCATGTTTTGTCCTTTCCTTTAACCCCTTTAACCCACCTCAGTTCCTCACTCTAATAATCCACATTAATCATATTAATTTCATAGTTGCTGAATAAGTCGTCTTAAGCCTTAAAGATGAATTCCACTGATTAATGAAAGCATAATTAAATGGTTAAGATGTAAACAAATCATTCAGAGTCAGAACTGTTCACAGTGGTGGTGAGAGGAACCAGACGTCTAAAGAGTTTAAAGGGGAACTCCACCGATTTTTGAAAATTTAATGGTTAAGGTGTAAATAAAGTCATTCAGAGTGGTTTGGTGTGAAACGCTCTGTTCTAGAGAAACGTATAGAGTCAGAATTGTTCACAGTGAAGGTGATAGGAACCAGACGTCCACCTCTAAAAGCTCCCTCACGGAAAGTTATTACATATTACATCATTAGCAATCATGCAATACTAAAGTATTAGCATTGTGAATACGCTACATGGTGTCTGAGACACTGTTTTACAATAGTTTTGTGGCCTAAAATGTATTTTAATCTATTTATTTTAATGTATTTATGGTGGAGGGATACATGACGGGTGTTCTGAAGCAAAACAGTCCCCAAAGAAAGATTTTTTTTTTTCAAATTTTCCACTGATTTACCACCATCAACCTTCCATATATACAAACTCATAAGAGACGTGTAGGTTCACTCCTGGTTTTGGACGGTAAACAAAAGTTTGTGTTATAGACATGGTGACCTCTGGTTCCTATCACCACCACTCTAAAGACATTTGAGTCTCTACAATGAACCATTTCACACCAAACCACTCTGAAGTTTACATCTTAACCATTTATGATGTAGAATTTTTCCCTTTAATGCCTCTACAAGCCCCATCACAGAAAGTTATAATATGAAGTGATTACTAAAACATTGCACAATGCCTGAGGCATCGCTTGAGACAAGGTTTTGGCCTAAAAGACATTTTTGGTTCCTATCACCACCACAGCCAATAAAATAGAGTCACTAAGTTTCTCTACAAAGCACCATTTCACATCATACCACTCTGAATGACTTTATTAACATCCCAACACTTCTACACTTTAAAATTAGCCATTTTAAATAGCAGCGCTTAATTTAAGAAGGGTACCTAAAAGTAGGCCATCATGCTCATGCTGGCCTCTCTAGATTTAAGATAGGACAGATAATACGTCTTAAGAAGAATAACTAAATAATACACCTAGAGTATAAACATAAAAACATAACATAAACCCATTCAAGCGTATGACGATAGAAACACTAGCTTAAAGTCTCACGAGTCAGTCATAAAGCTTTTGGACTGCCTAGACTTTGGCAGTGAAATACAGCATCACTGCTTGAGCCTAATGGCCTACATCCTGCGTGATGGTAAATCAATAGCGATCATGCAATAATAATGCACGTTTATGTAAAAACAGAGCAGGACTCTTTAAACTTTAAGCAGATGCTGGTCCATCTCAGTGGTGCTGAATCCTGAGCTGAACTGCATGAATCTGAATGCTTTGCTAAGGAGATATTAACTCAAACTTTTTCTTACTTATAGTTGATACTTACTAGTTGGTTCGTTCTAAACAGGCGATGGGAAACTGTAAAAGTGCTCATTAAAACTAAAAAGTGGTCTTTAATTAGCTTTAGCAATCAGTTTCTACAACATGCACTCTATAGAGCCATCTAACCCACTGTCCCACAAGAGATGCCTCATAATATCGAAATCCAACCTGCATAACCTCTTATTACTCTTACTAACCTACTGAATGACAGCTGTACAGATTAAGTTCAGTGGGTTTAATAATAGAAATAAGAAGCTGCAGACTGTAAAGACTCAGTTCAGTGGGTTTAATAATAGAAATAAGAAGCTGCAGACTGTAAAGACTCAGTTCAGTGGGTTTAATAATAGAAATAAGAAGCTGCAGACTGTAAAGACTCAGTTCAGTGGGTTTAATAATAGAAATAAGAAGGTGGAGACTGTAAAGACTCAGTTCAGTGGGTTTAATAATAGAAATAAGAAGGTGGAGACTGTACAGACTCAGTTCAGTGGGTTTAATAATAGAAATAAGAAGGTGGAGACTGTACAGACTCAGTTCAGTGGGTTTAATGATAGAAATAAGAAGGTGGAGACTGTACAGACTCAGTTCTGAGCATTTAGCAAGAGTAATATGATACTAAGTGGTTCTATATGGTATATAGCCTCAAGCAGAGGTGCCTAACCCCATGCTCAAGTAAAGTTCAAAAAACAACTTGGAGAGAAGTAATATAGAAATGAAACTCTCACTATCTCAATACTGTTGATTGAAAGTATACGTGCATGTAAAGTATACATTTTGCACGTAACTCGTAAACGTACCTAGTTACAACTCATGCCACAGCATTGAGAACTAACTTAGTGTTTATCTATACTAATAAAGTAACGGGGGGCTTCAGGCTCAACTGAGGCGCTGCAGGTTCTACCAGCTAAACAGTCTGTTGCGCAGAGGATGAACCGAGTGGGACTCACGCGCTCCTGTCCTGTGTTGGGTGGTAGAAATCCACAGAGTAGCCAAAGTAGCTGCCCTCAGGTCCACTGTACACCGACGGTTTGTCCAGGTCCAGGTTAAACGCTGCTATCATCCCGCACACAACCGCGAGTACGCACGAAAGCGCGCGGAAACACGCACGCACCGCGCGCGCCACCATCTCTGCGGTCCCCGGTGCCGGTGAAACGGAAAGACCAAACTGCTGCTCTCGGTGATGAGGATGATAGAAACGCCCTCGAGCCACTCCGCGCGCCCAGTCTCCACTCACTCAGCGCGCCGCGCGCCTCTTCTCTCCAGACTCCGCGCGAGCTGGCTAGACATTATAACGAGGTACGCGCGAGATGCGCTTTTTTCCCGCCCGCATTCCGATAAACCACGCCTACTGGACTACGACTGGCCAGCAGAACAGAAGGTGGGACAACTCTACCCAATTATAAAGCAGGAGGCGGGGCACTAGTAGCCAATAGCAACAAAGGAGGCTAGCCAATCAAAACGCAGGAGGCGGATTTGAGAGAATGTGGGTGAGGATGGATGGATGGATGGATGAGAGCAGGCGCACCAGACTCACCACATCATACAAAGCAGAGAGCCCAAAGCCAACTCCTTTAAAAGGGGAAGTCCACCGAGTTTTCTAAATTTCTGCATCATTCAATGGTTACATGTAACAAAGTCTTTCGGAGTGGTTTGAGGCGAAGTGATTCATTGAAACTTACAGACTGTGATTTTTCACAGTGGTGGTGATGGGAACCAGGGGTCGCCATGTCTACAACACAAACCTTTTTATTTACTATCCAAACCCACCACACAGTAAAAAAGGAGAGGTCAGCTCAGCTTAAAATGATACAGTAACTGACCACATGGCTTTCCTTGAGTTCACCCAACTCAAACTTCTTAGCTGAGTCAAGAATTCTCCCAGCTACTGTCTGCATCTCAGTTAGATAAACAAAACTGAATTTATGTTTTTTACTCAGTTTCTCCACTAGCTGGCGCTCCTTCTATCACACAGTCTCACCTGGCATATTTTCCTCTTGGGCTTCCAGATTTCACCAGCTATGGCATTGCTGGGATTCAAACTCACAACCTCCTGATGTTGGAATGAATCATTAGCCAGTTGCACCATGTGAGACTTTGCCATGGTTTAAAGTGAAAACAACAAATATTTTCTCCATTAATCTTAACTGCTTCATGTCTTCCTGAGTGGTGCAGTGGACTAAGCCATCACCCTGACAGGAGGTTGTGAGTTTGAGCCCCAGCGATGCCATAGCCATCCGTAAGTGTGTACCAAAGAGGAAAGATGTCCAGCAGGATGGTGTGGAAAGAGTCCCGGCTAGTGAGAAAGTTGAGTATATAAAACAAGTTCATTTTATTTACCTCACTGAGAGGCAGAACTAAAAAATTACAAGTTTTTGATTTTTTGACTCAACTAAGAAGTTTGAGTTGTGTGCCCTCAAGTTGAGTCCACTCAAGAAAAGCCATGTAATCAGTTACTATATCATTTTGAGTTGAGCTGACCTCTCATTTTTAACAGTGCAGTGAACCTACACGAGTGTTTGTATGTAATGTTGATCATGGAAACCTAGAGATAGATCTGAAAAAGAAGCTTCTTTGGGAATAATTTTGCCTCATAACGCCCTGCATGTACTCCTCCACTGTTAATCTATCAAATAATAAGAGACAATTCAGGCCATAACTTTCTAAAACATCTACCATAAATTAACAGCCAATGTCTTTTTCTTATTTCATCTAATAAATTCTGTGAGGGAGCTTTTAGAGGCATTAAACTCAGACGTCTGGTTCCTATCACCACCACTGTGAACTGAGACCATAACACCATGAATTCATTTGCTAACATTTCTGATTTATTTATGTAGAAAGTTTTTAAAAATTGACGGAATTCTCCTTTAAGGAAAAGTGCCGATTAACAAGAAGGGCATGTGAGCTACTAAATGCATTTAAAAACAAAATGAAAACGTTTATTACATTGTCATTACAATGCGTGTGCCATCTGAGCAACTTCCTATCTGAAACAGAGTTCTGCTTAATGAGGCTTTGAGCATAATTAAGGGTCATTAACGTTAACTAACAGTAATTAGGCATGTAAAACGTTCTAAAGTTAAACGTGGTTGCGAGCGGCCTGCGCTGGTCATACGGAAAATAAGCAGCTTGGCTGTTTTGATGCGAACCTAAAAATGGCCACGACTTCCTAATTTGCTTCTATAAAATAAAACCCGACCCACATGCAGGAGCAAAAACGCTGCTGACCTTTCCTCTCCAGTTTAGCGTGTTTATATTCCTCAGTGTTGCTCAGATAACATCATCATCTGTGGCTGTGTTGGTGTTAACCTACTATTAGAGTAAATTAACTCCACATTTGCAGCTAAATTAACTCTAATTTGAAGGGAACCCATGTTTTGGGGTTTTTGTTTCAGTCTGGGCATCAGATCTCTAAGCCCTGTGTGGTCCAGAGGTTTGACCAGAGAATGAATCAGGACAGATTTTCAAAGAAGCTCCTAAGCCACCGGAACAAATTCAGAGCCACAGACACAAGCAGTTCACCTATTAAAACTTCATTAGTGCCAAAAAGGGGTTCTGCTATTGTTACAAGCTTGACATTGTAACAACAGAAGAACCCTTTGTGGCGCTATATAGAACCGTCTACAGCACATTCTCCATCAATGTCCCAATGCAAAGAACCCTTTAATCATGCAAAGGGTTCTTTGAGTGTTTGAATGAACTATTTTCTTTACTAAAAAACCCTTGAAGAACCATCATTTTTAAGAGTGTACTGTATTCCTTGACCCCTTAAATGGCCAGGGCCCACCGACAGGCCCAAAAATGTTATTAAACACGTCTATAACCTTAGAATAGCTCAACCAGTTTGCACTGAAGTCCCTGTAGTTACTGCATAAAAAGCCTTAATATGTAACAAGTCTGGGATTTTAAGAGGTTAGAAACAGCAGACTGCTCTAAAAATGCTGCATTCTGGGAGAAACAGGTCCAGCTTCTCATCAACAAAGGTAAAACGTTGGATTTTGTTGGATCTGTTTTTTTTACAGTAATTAGTTTTTTTTTACAGTAATTTACTAGAAAAGTTGCCTTAAGCCTTAAAGATGAATTCCACTGATTAACAAAAGCATAATTTAATGGTTAAGATGTAAACAAAGTCATTCAGAGTGGTTTGGTGTGAAACACTCTGTTCTGGAGAAACTTACAGAGTCAGAACTGTTCACAGTGGTGGTGATAGGAACCAGACGTCCACCTCTAAAAGCTCCCTCACAGACAGTTATTACACAAAGTGGTTATGAATATGCTGCCTGATGTCTGAGCCACTGTTTTACAGTAGTTTTGTGGCCTAAAATGTATTTAGATCTATTTATTTTAATCTATTCTTGGTGGAGGGATACATGAAGGGTGTTCTAAGGCAAAATAGTCCCCAAAGGAAACTGTTTTTTTTTCAGATGTATCACTGATCTACCATATATCAGCATTTAATTACTGTTTTTTTACAGTACGTTTTTGTAGAGCATATGTCAAAGGAAGTTGGTACTGTTGTGCAACCTTGAGCAGCCAGTCTTTGAATGCTGTAGTGGGGCGGAGCTTCCCATCATTCCCTTGCGGTTTTGTTAGTTTTTGTCATTTTGCTTTTAATTCTTCTATCCACATTTCATTTACATGAGTTTGACCAGCAGAAGTGCATGTGATGGCCAGTTCATGCTGTGACTGATAAACAGTACAATGCTAGTGTCTCAGGGTCACTAACCATGCATGAATGTTCAAGCGTTTGTTATCAAAAGCTCTCAAGATAGATTTGCCCTGTTTGCATATATTTTTACATGTTGTGTGGTAAAGCTGAGGGTCGGCCGACGGCTTCGACTGCACATCAACTGCATTTCGGAATACAGTAAGTTTCTGTAATTGTATAATACAGTATAAGCACTGTAAATAAACAGGGTACTCTTTTTTATGTGTTTAGTTTGTGGTTGCCAGGATTGGGACAGGGATTGGGACTGATCTGAAAGGAAAGTGATGTACCTAATCAGAGTTTAAGAGGCATGAGGCTGCATTCAGATGGCAGGATGTATTCTTCCTGTGGCAACACACCAAATGAACAGACTGAAGAAACTGGCACTTATTGCGCTTCCACCAGGCTTCGTTTTTCCTAATCAGCCCTCATGAACATTTGCAACATCAGCAAGTGCCTTGAACACCCCTTATTTCTACGTTAAAGTACTACCATGGTGGACACCCCACAAATTGGCTTCTTTTCTTTATTTGTATTTGAGCAACTGGCCTGTACACTATTTGACAATTTCATGCTGAATGGACCAATAGAAATGTTAACATTAAAACTGAATTAAAATTAATTAATGTTTTTGTCTTCTCCTGTAAGAAAACCTTTTGGAAATTTTTTCTTTGAACAGCAACAATATGGAAGATGGAGACTATTAGAGGCAGATCTTGCTAGACATCTGATGTTTTGGGGGTCTTGACTGAGGCTGACGATCCTCATTGACCACAAACTCTGGCTAAATATGCGTCAGATAAACTCTCAGAAGAAGCGCCGGCCTAAAGTGCAAAGTCCCTCAAGTGTAGCCTTAATATGTAATAAGTCTGGAATTTTAGGCTAAAAACTGATCTAGAAAAATGCTGGATTCTGGGAGAAACAGGTCCAGTAAAAAGTTAAAATGTTGGATTTTACAGTAATTACTTTTTTTTTTACAGAAATTTACTGTTTTTTACAGAGCATACTGGGAAAGTGGTCGGTACTTATGAGCAACCTTGAGCAGCCTGTATCTGAATGTTGTGGTGAGGCGGAACTTCCCATCATGTCTTCTCCTGTAAGGAAACATTTTGGAAATATTTGCTTTGAACAGCAACAATATGGAAGATGGAGACTATTAGAGACAAATCTTGCTAGACATCTGAGGTTTTGGGGGTCTTGACTGAGGATGAGGATCCTCATTGACCACAAACTCTGGCTAAATAAGCATCAGATAAACTCTCAGAAGAAGCGCCGTCCTAAAGTGCCAAGTCCCTGTAGTTACTAAATAATAAGCCTTAATATGTAATGCATCTGGGATTTTAAGAGCTTAAAAACAGCAGATTGTTCTACAAAATGCTGCATTCTGGGAGAAACAGGTCCAGTAAGAAGTTAAAATGTTGAATTTTACAGTAATTACTGTTTTTGTTATTTACAGTAATTTACCGTTTTTTGCAGAGCATGTTGGGAAAGCATTTGATACTTTTAAGCAACTTTAAGCAGCCCGTCTCTGAATGTTGTAGTGGGGCGGAGCTTCTCATCATTCCTTCTACTGCAAGGAAACATTTTGGAAATATTTTCTTTGAACAGCAACAATATGGAAGATTCCAATATGGAGACTATTAGAGATGTTGTTTTGGAGGTCTTGACTGAGGCTGAGGATCCTCATCGACCACAAACTGTGGCTAAATATGCACCAGATAAACTCTCAGAAGAAGCGCCGTCCAAATGTGCCAAACCTGCATTTTATACGTGTGTAATTAACTTTGTTTATTCACGAGACACATTAAAGTGACTTTGGCCTCCGGCTTAATAAATGCTTAATTAGAACAAG